TTTTTCCCAGGGAGAGGGCGCAAGCCACGTTGGGACGCGCTCCTTCCAAGAACCGGGCGCCAACCTGAAAGGACATTCGTCCTGTTTAGAAGTAATTTCGTTGGGACGCACAACATTTCAGGGCTTATGGTCAAATTTAAAATGATCTCACATGATGTAATAACTTATTTCATCGGGTCAGGTGGGGAAGAGATTCACTTCATGGCAGAAAGTGTGAAGAATATCTGATCCTAAATTCATTACATTCTGATTTAGACTCCCCTCAAATTCATGACCGCCAGTAAATTCGAATCTCGGGAATTCCAAATGTATCCACCATATTGTCCCCATTATAACTGGTGCAGTTAGTAAAGCCTGACATTGTCGTGAGGGCATTTACTGTCGGATACACGGGGAACTGGCGCGTCTACACTCACCGTTTGGCAGTACGTCCTGAAGCTGAATCGGGGCTCGTCGTCATCCTCAACAAACATCCTCTTGAAGTACGCGATCCTCGACACCGACACGCGATCGGGGACCCGCCTGCAGGGGGCTTCTGCAGGAGGAGCAAGTGACACATGTGAAAATCCCATCATTTGTCAAAAGTTCAGTAATAAACAAGAATACAGAATTGAACTGCGCGTCAAACTTTACAAATCCCAGATGAAGTAATATAAATATATATTTTTCAAAAGCACAAGTGTTTTTAATTAAGGATACGATGCAAAAAAGTCACCAGTCTAACGTGAAGAAGCCCGAGAGTTATGACTTATGAAGCGATAATAAACACCGTAGGAGGCCATCCGCAGAAACATCCGCACCTCGCGTGAGCGGCTCCACGGGGGCGCGCGTGAGCGGCTCCACGGGGGCGCGCGGTGGCGGCGACGACGACGGCGGCGGCGGCGCGCTCGACCGGCGGGCCGCGGCGCAGCGCTCAGAGTCCCACGCGGGCCGGTAGGTGGCGAGCGGAGGGTCTCCCTCTGGGTCCAGGAAAGGATTCATGGACAGAACTAAGGTCATCGCTCTCTCTCCGATTCAGGTCTGGGGGGGAAAAAAAACAGACGGGAAATCAGCGCTTCATGAGCCAAACCCCTAAAACACCCGAGGGTTAAAAGAGTAACAGCTTTAAAAATAAATCAGCTTCACTCACTATTTATTCAAATAATTCTCATAAAAGTTATTTTTAATCACGCTATTTTTTCACACACGTTGTGTCGATGGATCCAACCTTTCAGCGATGCGGTAAATGTAAACAAGATGCTCGTCTGCGGTGCAAGCGGCTTCTGTGCAAAATGTTGCCGCATGTTTTACCAGTACGTGCATCTCGCGGGGGCCACGTGACAAATCAAAGCTGTAATAATAATGCAGAGCACTAAATTTAAAAAAACAACAACATCTTTTTAAAGGGGGCAGATGGCTGGCAACTCTGAAATGCGGCGTACTGTTACACGCGGGACACAGATGGAGCGGTGACACCCGCTCCCACCATCGAGTCCCTGTTGGTTAGTCGGTGGGAGAGTTGGCGAGATCCCGGGGACCGAAAAGGCCGCCAAGCTCGAGTGGATTCCTTTTATTGGCTTGACCCAAAACAGATCCGAGATCATTTTGGATCCGTTGGCCCCGCCCCCTTCACGCCAGGAGCCAGCTGTTTCCCAGCCCCGCCCCCTAGCTGAACAGATATCATCATCCCACGAGCTCGACACGCTGAGGCGGCCCCCGTCTCAGACCCACCCGTTGGGTCGCTGATTAAACTGTCCGCTCCGATGAGCCCCCCATGAACCCCCCCACGACCCCCCAGCTCGGATGTTTTATTTCTGTGTGCCCCGCTGGAACCTCCCAGAGAGGACAAGAAGCCCCCTCATGCGAGAGTACGATGTGCACACGGCCGGCTGGAGGAAATGCTCAAGGGGGTCAAAGGGCGTAGTGAAGACGCAGATGCCTGCAGGTCGTTGGTCGTGGAGCGGTTTGAGATGAACGGTAACTTTAGCGTGATCACAATGTGATTGAGCACTTTGCCCGTTAATGTTCTTCCATCAGGATGGAGTCCGTGTGCCATTCCATTTTGTTCGTCTTTTACACAATTAACAATTTGACATCGCCCAACTGACGCCGTGCCCAGGTGGGAAGCATGTGATGGATCACACACTTATCGCGAGGCGGGGGGGGGGGGGGGGGGCAGAGATAGGGGGGAGAGGTGGAGATGGAGGGCGGAGGGATGGATGGATGGATGGATGGAATGAGTCAAGGAAGGGAAGATAAGTGCCTTAGGAGGCTTGTCATGAGCCAGACGGATCGCCTGCAGGGATGATTTCTGCTGCTGTGATTGACTCGCTGCCTCCAGCGCCGAGATAGACAAACACGCACACGCACACACAAACGCACGCACGCACACACACGCTCGGCTTGCTGTATCCTAAAATATTTTAGAGAGGAAGTCGACTGAGGCTCCACAGACACAGAGTCGGCCGATGTTTACACGCATCAATCCCAAAACTCGTTGTAGATTTTCGAATAAATTCCGGCGATGTCGGGAGTCACAACATCTGGATTCTCTTAATTCCGTGGGAGAGCAACGCGACTAAATCCTCCTTCAAAAAGAGGCTTCGGGATGAAAACCGCTCTTAACTTTGCGTTAAGATTCCTTAAACCAAACGGACGCAGGTATTCGCCCTCATCCTGCATTATTATGGAAATCAAAACGCGTCAGCGGAGCACGTTCGCGTCACTCGTCAGTTATTTTTTTTGCATATAAATCATTGCGTGCACAAGTGTTTTCGGTCAACTCTTGGCGCTAACGTTAGCTCAGCATGAGGCCTCCATTGATGGATCTCTTTGGAGAACGACCTTGTAACTAAGCAGGACGGGATTATTGTATTTTCTAATAAAGTATAAATAGAAACCAATTTCCTCAATTTCATCCCGAGGACACACCATAAGTGTTCTCAAGTGCCATCCGTACAGGATATTGAGGCCCGGCGTGGACGTGTTTACATAAGGATCGCCTGACTTTATTATTTTTTTTTGATTTTGACATTTGGGAGGCAAAATTGCTTCACGATACCCACAGCTGCTTTTTATGATGAAAGCGGCGCCGTCGCAGGGAATAGTACAATACGGCCCGCCGCTCGTTCCCCCGTGTTGAAAATCAATTCAGAAACATAAACAGCCCGACAGTAAACAGTGTAGGAATATAAACGGGGGGTGAGGGGGGCTTTTATTTTATTTACTCAATGTCTTCCTTACAACATACGGAGCTTTTGGGGAGTTTTTAAGAGTTTCAAATGACTTGTCTTCCCCTTACGGTCGATGAAAAAACTTTTATTTTTTAAGGGTTACTTAAGCCCAAAATAAGGGGGGTCGGGGGGGTTGTGCAATGATTCCGGGGGAGTTTGAAGCTTAAACTTGATCCTCTCTCTCTCTCCTTTCTCTGTGGCCTCAAAAATGCTAATTGATCCAGCATGTGTTTGACAGAGTGTATGTTGTAACCCTTCGTGTGTGCGTGTGCGTGTTGAGTGTGTTTTATGTGGCAGCGTGTTCCCGAGCCTCCGGGGAACCGATAGCGCTGAAGAAGTCATGGTTTTCGCATCAAATGGATCCCAGCCTGCCTGCAATGCGTCAGGATTGGACGCCGTGGCTTCGTCGGTGGATCGGGGATTCTGGGCCGGTTAGATTTTTGTTCTGCCGTACTGCGCAAACCGCGATTGACACGACTACGCGCCCGGTGCGCCCGGACACACCGTAGTGAAGGCAAGCGCGGCGCCCGCGTTGAATGCGCTTCCACGTCTGCTGCCCCGAGAACTCTGGGAAAGAAACAGCTGTTGTTGAAGCAACGTCGATGATAAAACATCTGTCTGGCTAAGTTGCGATCGCCGTAATTGCAGCGATCACAATTGTGCGTCTCTTGGCCAAATCCTTTAATGGCTTTTTTTTTTCTTCCCTTTTGTGTTGCAGCAAAATAAGCAGCGGCTTGTACGAACGCGCTGCCGACTCGTCATCCGCTTAAAAACCAGAACCTTCTCAAGTGACTGCATTGCAAATATCCTCCCCAATCTACTCCAACGACGGACAGTGTGAGGAGCTTCTGTCCGGCTCTTCGTCTTAACCCGGCTGTGTGCAAAGGAAGAGGAGGATCAGCGTCTGATGAATTAAAGAGCAATATATGATGGGACCAACTGTGAATAACAACCATGTCGGATATAAAATCAAATAATATTGGGATGCAATTCACTGAACGAAGGTGAACAGAATCCATCTTCTTCTTCTTCTGTTTTCTTCTGCTCATGTGATCTTCTAAAGAGGCAACGACAACACAAAGTCACTTAAAACGCTCCTGACGCACAACCGCTCATTTAACCCGTCGGTGCGAAACGGCCGCCGCGAAGGCGGAGGCAGAGGAGTCGCCTGACATTCATCCCACGCGCATGAAGCATGGCGGGGGGGGGAGGGGGCCTCCGGCTGTAACCTGCTGCACATCCGCAAAACGAGACGGATCCTTCCTTCTAACTCGCTCTCGACGACGTCGGCTCTTGGAAGTGACAGCCCTCTGTGAAGACAGGTGTGTGTGTGTGTGTGTGTGTGTGTGCGCGGGAACAGTTCATACATCTCCACGCTGGGAAGATAAGCGGGCGTAGCCCCGAAAGAGCCGCCCTGCGGTCGCCTCGGCGGGAGCCTCCTCGCCGCTTTGAATCCCGCAGGAGGACGAGGAGAGAAAAGACTCGACGGGTGGCGGCGGCTGCGGCGCCGCCTCATCTCGTTACTCTCGCGCGACGGGATTTGCCGGTACCTGTTGTACCTTTAAGGCGCCGCCCGGGTTTTAAGATCTCGCTCTCGTCTGCGGCGGCGGCCGTAGGGCCTCAGTGCAAAAACACGACACGATAGTTGTTGTGTAAAAACGTGTGGGTGCAATTGAAATGTG